CCCTAAAATTTGGAATTTTTAAGGTGGGATACCATACCCAAGGAGTAGCCTTAAACAACTTTGTGGCTGAAGCTTAGGCGAAACATCAGGAGGGGAGTATCCGCATAGGAGCCAGAGGAGAAATTAAAAACACTCATGCATAGATAATACCTGAATCGTGCTGCACTGCACCCGCCGGCCCCCAGGTGGAAGCCAAAGAGTTTACCTGCCACCAGCCAGGCAAGTCGATAAGCCAGCGGGGCAGCAGAGGATGATGTTGGCAAGATGAGAAAAAAGCAGCGAGTGGAAGGGAAAGCTGTGAAACCCTGGCCATATTTACGTAAGCTTAAATCGCACCATGTGTCTGGCTGGGAATGTCTGTGGGGTATTTTCATACGAGTGCTTGTATGTGAGAGCGTCCCGCCATGTGTTGCAAATTTTTGCAGCCCTTAGCTTCTCCCGGTTCTTGCTGCTGCTCCCTGCACGAATAAACTATGCGGTGGTGGAGGGTGTCGGCGGCGGCCACGCGAAAGTGCCGCCACTTGACTGCCACCCAGCCCTGGCCTTACCCGGTCTGGGCTGGCCTGGGCGCGCCACTGTGCGTATGAGTTATGTAGATAACGCTCGGCGCAGCTCGACAGCGGCTGGCGGGCGACCGCAGAAAGTGTTTTACTCAAAGGCATCGTAACTCTTGCGCGGCGCTTTCTTTTCGACTCTCCTTCTTTGCATCTCTCCCGGAAAGAACTTCAATTTCTGTATCTGTTCTGCGAGACCCGCCCTGAGTTATTGGCAACTGGGGGCAGATAGAAAGAGATTGAGAGAGAGGGGAAAGTTTCCCTTTCAGCTCGCTCCACACGCGCGAGATCACATTTTTTATCTTTTGTGTGCGTAGCTGCTCAAATTTAAATTAAAACTTCGACACTTTTGCATTTTATCCTTGACTTTATAACTGGGGTTAACATGCCAATGCGTGGCTGGCTCTTGCCGTTTCTTCCCCCTTTCTACGAGGGGGGGGGCTGCCGCCGAGACTGCGTGTGAAACTTTGTGTCCACATTTTGCGGTTGTAAAGCGTCAAACGCTTAAAACTTAAATAGTTATTTTTTCCGTTGCTCTTCTTGCTGCCTCGTTGCTTCGTTATTTTTTATTGTTTTATTTTGCAGTGACTGCTGAAACGTTCTGGCTTTTATGGATCAACTTTGAGGGTTTGGTTTTCCATTAGGAAAAAGTTTCGATGGAACCTCAGCAGCGCTCTGATCCCGCCGCCCCTCGTCTCTAGGTCACCCCGAATGCTTTCTGCATTCTGCTTAATTTTATTAAAATTTTGCATATTTCAGTAATTTTTTTTGCTCTCCCACTCTCTCCCACACTGCCGCAGATATTCTTTACGAGTCCAGGGCGGATGGGGGTCTCTCGTACGAGTATTTCCTTATCGCGGTGCTAAAATGTAAAATGCTTATTTGAATATTTTATAAATTTTTCATTCGCGCCTTATTTCGCAAAATATTTTGCTCACATTCTTTGGACAACTTTGACATTGTGGCGGGACGAGGCGAGGCGGCCTGAGGCATGTGTGTGTGTGTGTGTGTGTGTGTATGCTAAATGTCTGAAACACGTCTGTCTCTACTCTCGCTAAGGGCCAGGCCAGCACACATTATGCTCTGGACCAGGCTCCTGCACTTGCCCCCGGCCTCGGTCACCAACCAACCAGCCGCAAAGTAAATTTGCATACCCATACTCATTCAACACACACTTTCACACACGTGTATGTGTGTGTGTGTGTGGCTGGTTTGTCATTCATTTCCGGATGAAATTTATGCAATGGCTTAAATAAGCGCAAAAAATGCCATTTTACCCTCAGCAAGTGACAAAATGTGTGTTTCGTTGGGTATAAAAAAATAATTATGCAACAAGGAGCGTGTCGGGGCGGGAGAGGAGAAAATCATTTCCCAAGAAGCGGAGAAAACCCAAAAAAAAAACAGAAAACAGAAGGCAAAAGCAGGTGCTGGAGTACTTTGCACAAAATGAAACTTTATGCAATTGTAAAATGTTTTCAACAACATTTGCATGTGGCCTTTGGCAACTTTGGCATCGGCTACGACTATTTACACATTCGTCAGGAGCTGGCCGAGCCACGAGCATTTCTGGACAAAGCCCTGGTCTGGCATGGCCTGGCCTGGCATGGCCTGGCCTGGCCCTGGACCACCACTGACCGCATTTAGTTTTGTTGTTGATTAAGTGCTAGAGTGCAAGTTGCGGCCAGGGAAACTTTGCCCTTGCCATGGTCAAGAAAGACCAGTTTCGGAGTAGTTCCCAATGAAAACAAGATGTGTAGTTTAATCTCTCATCTTGCCTGGGCGGCGCTGAGTATTTCGTTTGAAGTTTTGCCCACAAGGCGACGCAATTCCACGTGCCAGAGCCAGGGCCAGGGCCAGCTGGAGACGGGGACGAATACGGAGACACACAGCGTGTGTCGTACACTTGATTTGATATGCAAAGTACTTGCAGCGTTTTATGTGAGATTCAATTTCACACACTTTGCGCCGCAGCTTGCTGCTTATGCAAAATCAATAAAGAGCATGTGACGAGCAAACAGAGTGCAAGAAAAATATTTACGTATGTCAAAGGGGTTATAACACCTATAACACCGGGGCCATGGCTCTGGGCTCTGGGCTCCGGGCTACATTCCATGCCAGGACTCCTACCAAGGCCGTGACGCAATCTAAACGAAAACAAAAGCAGTACAAAGTGTTGTCAAACGCTCTCCCTGAAAGGGTTTCCATTTCTCAGAGGAACGTACAGAGAGAGAGAGAGAGAGTTGGGCCCATCAGAAATCAATTTCCTGTGCAGAAAATGGAAAGCGAAAACTTTGCCAAAAAGTTAAAGCCAAAATGAAGGAAAAACAAAAAAAACGAAAGTCTTGGAAACTTTTGCTTCGTTTCGTGGCTCGTGTGGGTATAGAAAGTTTTACCTGTCGCTTTTGCAATAAAAACACTGGCATCTGCTGCCACAATCAGTCAAACCATCAATAGTTTGATTAGGTCTCTGTGCCACATGTTGACTTTAAGCGAAAAATTAGCTCTAAGCTTCGAAAAAGTTGCCTTTCCCGTACCCTACCACCCACCACTCACCAGCCACTGCAACAAATAAACAAAAACGAAACTTTGAACTGTTGCTGGTTATCTGTGTGTGGGATGGGGGAAGGCATACTCGTAGAAAACTTTGACAACAGCCAGAGATACAGATACAGCAACAGCTACAGCCTACAGATACAACTACATTTACTGGCTCTACATATGGCTACTGCCCGAAGCACTCGAGTTGACATTTAGCAGTGTGTGCAACAAGGAAAACAACTCAAAGTCAGAATGGCCAAAATATGCACATAAATTCCATGGCCAAAAGTTGCCAAAATAACAGGCAACAACTGGTGGGGATGGGGGGAGTGGCACCCGGAAAAAGTTGCAAATGTGCAGAGATAAGCGCATACAAGGCAATGGCAATGGCAATGGGACTGCAAAACAACATCAGCGACAGTGAAATATAATGAAATTAAACAAATTGCTTGGATTTACCTTGGCTGCTGTTGCTGCTGCTGCGAAACTCCTGCTGCCGCGGCCGGAGCCCGAATCATTGTCAACGAGTGGAAAAGTTTTTTCCTTCTGACAAATCCCTGGCCGCCCACCGACACGCCCTTCCAGCCCCCCAACCCCCCGTACAAATGAGTTGTCGTAGAGAAAGGTGGATGGGTTGGCTTGGCTTGGCTTGGGTTCTGCTGCATAGCAAACGACAATTCATGTAAATTGCTTAATTTATTAGACTTTTTCCGAGGCAGAGGCGGAGGCAGACACAGCCCGTCCTGAGCCCTGTCTGCTGGCACTTCCGTCCGCGCCACGCGGCTTCCTGACTTTGACAGCGTCTCGCGACTTTGGCTTAAGCATATTCCAATTGTTGTTGGGCTTTTCTATTTGCGCTCCGCTACAATTTGCCGCTCGCGCTCTGACGGGCTTTTGTTTCGGCAGTGAAAAAAGTTTCGCAGCATTTTCCCAACGCTGTTTTACTTTGTTTTCGTGCTTATGTTTCTCACTTTGGCTCAGATCGGCTCTGCTCTGCCCGGCTCGGCTCTGTTCTGTTCTGCGAATTTGTTATCTTAATTCTTGTCATTTAAAACAAAAACACAAAAATAAGCGAGGCGAACCTGCCTGCCACCATTTGTTTTTTTTTAAATAAAACTCAAGGCAATTGAATACATTGAAGGAGGGCGCAAACTTTTGTGTAATACGCGTGCAGATTAAAACTTTTGGCCCATACACAGCACGCCAACGCCAACGCATACGTATACGCCTCGTGCGCTCCATTCGCCCGGGCAATGGCTGGTCTCACGTTACGCATACGCCCCGCTGCCATTATAGGATGGCAAGCAGGCTGCTGTTTCTGCCGCGGCGGCAATGGCACGTAATGGAGGACCGTGCCAGGGAATCGCTGTCGTTGTGCCGCCGTCAGCTTAATGGCAGCATTCATACAAATCACAGAATAGCTCGCCCCGCCCCTCGTTTCCCTCGCTTCCCACGCTTCCCGCGCTTCCTGGCTGCCATTGCACTTTTCCGAGTTGCTTTCTTGTTTTCTATGCTTTTTTTTTTGGGTAGCGTACATGAATAATGTACGGAAAAATTCAAGAAAATGTATTGCACACCCAAACACACAAATGCAACGCCAGAAAACTGGCGGAAAACAGCGCGCCAACGTAAAGTGCAAGAAAAGCGCGCCAGGACGAACACGAGCACGCACACACTGGCACAGCAGCACGGGTTCCAGTACGGGTTGGGTATATGGGAACGTACAAAGTCTGGCTACACAAAAAACTAGGTTACAAGTTGAAACTTGAAACTTGATGGCGTTACTTTCGGTGCCGGTTCTTGCCACCAGCCATCCCTCCAAATGCTGCTGCTGAGACGCGGCTCCTCCAGCTCCACCAGCGGCAACAGAAATTCCCAAATGTAAAATGAAATTCATGTGCAACATACCCGAAACAGTAGACAATCTTTCGCTGAACAACTCCCAGATGCGGGACTCCTTTCTGTGAATCTTGGCTTGCCTTTCGATTATCACATTAGCCGGGATTCGGACGAGCACAGAAATTGGATTCGCGTCACTTGCCACTGGCCGGCTTTAGCAGACGAGTCTGAGTCTCTGGGTCTGGGCCAGAGTACTGCTTCACTTTGTTGGCTGCTGGCAACTGGCACGATGCGCTGCCCAACGACGGCGACAAGGTGACGAGGCGCCCATCGCCATTTGCCGAATTCGCCGCATCGAAGCATCGGCTGCGAGTCGCGAATGCTGCGAGAAGAGAGGGCATCTCGGCTCTCTCTCTCACACTCTCTCTCTTAGCATTTGTATAACAGTTTCGCCTGCTCCAGTTTGCCTCGGTGTTAGTGTGGGTGCGTGTTCTAGCCGAGTGCGACTGTGTGAGTGTGAAATTGTGTCATTAGGTGCATTTGTTTTCGTTGTCCTGTCCACCTTGTGCTGCATACCCACACCGCCCGCTTTCCCGCCCTGCCGCTGTCCCGCTTTTTCCCTAATGCAGTCCAGCTCTGTGCCCTGTCCCCTGCCCCCTGCTCGCCGCAACATGGCGTATTTGCTGCCTCTTGTGCTTTTGTTTTTGCTGTTTATTTGCTTCATCTTCATGCCGTGTCACTTTTCGAGTGCCAGAGTGTGGGGCTGTATCCATGTGTGTGTGTGTGCGAGCGGGTTTACTACGAGTATCTGTGTGTCTGTGTGCGTGTGTGGTGTATGTCAACTTGGCGCCGCTCATCTAACTAAATGCCAACAATTATGTTTTGGAGTCTCATTAGTTGCAACTTAAAGTGTTCTAATGTGTCGCCGTGTGTGGAGGAGTGATGCCGTTAATGATGTAAGCGTCCACTGACGCCACCAGAATCAAGTCAAGTGTCGGGCTCTGTATGTAATTTTTTTGGGGTCGAGTTCGTGTCACACGGTGTTTTTGTTAATTGGTATTACCTGATACTGACTCGCTGACTCTCTGCCGCTGCTGCTGCTGCTGCTGCTACTCCCCACATCCCCCACGAATATGGAAATTTATATTTGTATTTGTATTGGACGCTGTGCCCGTAACCCCAATGGACCGAACCGAACCGATGACAATGCCAGGCCAAAGCAGGCCAGAGCGAGCGAGCGAGAACAAAGCGTGCACAATATGGCACAACTAATCACGCTGACGTTGACAGAAAATGCACTAAACAAAGAGCCAAATAAACACGGCCCCGAACCAACCAACTAACCAGCCAACACATGCTGTGTATGAGAGCGGTGTGGGGGGTGGGGAGACGGCCACACCAAACAATGTGAACGGGAGCTATAAAAATCGCATGCGAGCGAGCGAGCGAGCTGGCTTAATGAATGCCCAGGTACTGGTCCGGTCCCGGGTCCCGGGTCTCCGGTCCAAAACGGAACCAGCACACAGGTTGGCAGGTCTGAGAAGGTTCGCAGGTCGAAGGGTTGGCCAGAGTTCGGGTTGCTAATGTTGCTTCTCTTCTCTGCTCCTCTCCCGCTCCCTCCCAGCCAGCACATCCAACTAATTTAAGCTGCGCCTTGTTATAATTACAGCGAGCAGCAACAAAGCTGTTGGAAAATGATGCGCACGTGACATCCGGCACTGTCTCTCGGTCGGCCCCATCCTATACCACTCCCGCGCTGTGCTGTCCTGTCCTGTGCTGGCCAGGGGGTTGCGCGGCACCTTCAGTCTCACTCCTTCCAGCCAAGTCAAAAGGACAAAGTGCACGGCGGAAAAAAAAAAGAAAGGGGAAAGCCAAACGAAGAAACGAAGTCGGGGAAATCAGCCATCAGCCAACAGCGAACAGTAAAAGCCACAGCGGCTAGAGGAAAAAAAAACAAAGGCCAGGCGAACGAGTCACACGCTCCAAAAGCAAACAGAGCGCAGTGCATTCTTCTCGGTGGGTGTGAAGCACAAGCAAGGAGCCCACACCCCACAACCCACAATTCCTCTGAGTTTTTAGAAAATTATGAGCGGGAGGGAGGGATGGCCTGCCTTTTTGCATTTTTTATACAATTTTCTGGGATTACTGGCGTAGCGGAAGAGGAAACACGGGGAACGGCGAGCGGGGAACGAGCGTTGGACTCAAGAAAATTAGTCGCGCTTTACGCTCGCGTCGGAAGGGAATAAAAAATGGTACGAACTGAAGCTGAAGTGTAAATTTACTTCCGCTGCAAAATGTGGGCGTGTGACCCAGCTGACAGCCGGCTGCAGGCGTGGCTAGTAGGGGTGGACAGGCGGGACAGGACAGGGCGCCGCTGTTGCAGCAGAAAGCAAAAAAAAAATGCAACTTTTTCTAATTAAGCGTACGTGCGGCTGTCAGCGGCATCAGCAGAGGGCAGCTTGCTCTTTACTTGTATAACTTATTGTCGTTGACAATAGTTTTAATTGAAAAGAGCACCAGGGCTCCGCCATTGTGCAAGTACGTGTACGTGTACGAGTACGAGTGTGTGTGCTGCGGGAGTGTGGGAGTCACGCGGTAAAGCCAGCTGCTTCCGGGCTCACCTCTAACAATTCAATCAACGCTACAAATGCTGACTAGTTTATTTTTCAAGACGCCCAGACAAGTGGGCGCCCGGCAGCTACATCTTCAGGTTTCACAGTGGAAGCTTCTTGCTCGGCATTTGTCTTTGTAAGTGCGTCTTGCCAGGGGCACTTCACTCGTCTGCCACTTGGCTGCCTGCCTGCTGACCAGCTGCTGTTGCTGCTCCTGGATCTGGTTGCTGCTTTCAGCAACATCTTCAACTGCCCTGACAGGGAGTCTGCTGCTGTCCTAATTGAAGTCCTCATCGACGTTGCTGCTGTGAGGGGGGAAAGGTAGGTGCTCGGGGCTCGGGTCTGTGTACTCCGATTAGCGCTGTGGGGGGCGGTCGAGGGTTCGCATAACTCAGCCGCATGCTAAATCAAGAAGCGTCTCAGCTCGAAATCCATTTCCCATAGTCATGCACTACCAGCGCACATTTATCAAGATGATGGCAGCCGGCACATGCACAGTTTACCTGTGTGCCATAAATAAGTAAGCCATCCCCATGCCCAGACCTGCCACTCAGCCCGGCGATGCAATCAGCGCCTGGCCTGGTATATCCAGCACCCTGCCTACCCATCCACCAGCCATTCCCTTCTCGGCCTGCTCTTCCTGTCTGGCTCTCTGGCTGTGGATCTGAGTCTGAGGAGAGGAGATGGTTGCAAGTTTCTTAATTTTCGTTTGCCGTAAATTGGCGCACACACACGCCTCCTCGTGCGCCTACTCCTGGATATTGTTGTGCAGCTTGGCGTAGCAGAAAATCGCTTAAGATGCTGAGGCAATGCAAAGTTTACCTTACCCTTTTTTGGAGCTCCTCCCACTCAGTGCCAACCTTGGAAATTTTTGCCACTGCAACTGCGACTGCGCCAGCAACTGCAACTGCGAGTACGAGTGCGAGTGCTGCTTCAGTCATCAGTTTTGAAGTTTGTGCCAGGTTTGGCTGGCGTCTCCCATTTGGCAGCTCGTATCTCTAGTTACGCCTCCTCCCAGTTCTGGCTCTTTCTCTGGTTCTGGCTCTGCCTCTCCAGCTCCAGCCATAGCTCTGGCTCAACTTTATCGACAACGTTTACTTTTCGATTCGTTTCGTTTCGTTTTGCAATCTGTAATTACGAGCAGCAGCCGCTTTTGATGCTTCTGGTTTAACTTTCAACAGCTGCCAAGCCGTTCAGGCTGCTCTAACTTAATCCTCTTCACTCCTCTCCTCTCCACTCCTCTCTATTCCTCTTCCTGTATACCTATCCAATCCAATTCGATCCCTTCTATCCTCTGCCAGTGTGGAAATATAATCGACAATGTCGATTGGCGCGTTTGTTTTTGTGGTTTTTGCGTTGAAAAGTTTCTTTAGTTTTGTTATGCTGGGAATCTCTAATCTAATGCCTGGTGGAGGAGTTTTTGTTGGTTTCGTTTCTGATTGCGCCGCATTTGCGTGCTTGTGCAGATTGCATATTTCATGCTACTATTTGTCTTGCCACTGCAGATGAAAGTAAGGGAGGTAGAGAGAGAGAGGAAGACTCATTAAGCCGCGTTTGATATGCATACGAGATCCGCAACAGGCTTGGCTTGGCTTGGCTTGGCTTGGCTTGGCTGTTGCCGCGCCAAGAATCCCTAAGAATCCCGCTGGCTGACGCTAATTAGAAAAGTTGCCTCAATCAGGGGTAACACTTCCGCTCGGCTCCATCTTCTTCTGGGGCCCGCGCCGCCATTAACGCAACATTGGCGCTAATAGAGTCTTCGACTTTATTGAGGACTTTGGCAATAAGAGTTTGCCAACAAGTTTAAAGTTGTCTGCATGCCCTTCGACATTCAACAGAGCAACAAAAAAAAAAACAGCAAAAAAAAACATAAAGGGGTAAAAAATCAAGGCGCAAATGACGGTTCACTTAATTTGCATTTAATTACAAAGTTCTACAAAGTCCTGCAAAGAAAACTTGAAAAAAGTAGCAACTGGAATCGCACCCATCCCCTGATCAATGGCGGCTCCATGGCCGAGTAAATATTGCCACAGACAGGCAGGCCAGAGATGAAGCATAAAATATAAAATAATAAATAAGCAAAGATATACATATATATTCTTTATTTGAGTTGGATGTTTGTCTTTGCTTTTTTCGGATTCATTTTACTCACATGCAGCGGACAAGGCTTCGGCTTCGGCTTCGGCTCTGGCTTGGCTTGGCTTGCCCCGCTCCACCCCCCACTTATTGGTTCCGCGGCACTCAAAAGATTAAAAAGCCATTTGATGCGGACCGCATGGGGGTCTGAGTCTGGGTATGGATGTGGGGTATGGGTCTGTGGCAAGGCCATTGGGTAATCATCCCCGGAGCAAAGTTTTGCGACCACAGCAAAGAACAAAGAGCAGTGGGAGGATGGAGGGGTGGTTCGACACAAGTGCCACACTGTACAACATAACTTGATAAACAGCTCACGCAACAGCATACTTGCACAGCAAATTGAAGTACGCGTATAAATGAAAAGCAACCAGTAAAAACATGAATTTCGCTTAAATATATATTGAAAAAGTTTTGCTTAACATATTTTTTTTAGAAAGGAAGCTTTCAAATTGGTTTTCGAGGGTCCCCCGTCCCGAGGCATGGATTATTAGTGAAGTGGGTGCTGCTGCTGCTGCTGCAACAACAGGGGCAGCCACAAAAGGCATTCAGAAATTAGCATTAGCACGCATCTCCGTATCCATCTCCGTATCCATCTCCATTTCCATCTCCTCTTCCTTGACCCACATTGAGCCGGGTCGGGAGTGGAGCCACTCTGCCTCAAATTCGAGTGACGTGCGTGAACTTGCGCATTTCGTGCACGTCCTTGTCGTGTCCTCAATGTTCCTGCTTCAGCTTCAGCTCCCATCCCATCCCATCCTGTCTCTCTGTGGCTTGGCGAATTGCGTTGGCAAAATGGAAACCATTAAACGAATGTTTCACCCACCTACCCGCCTACTCCTGGCTCTCCCCGGAATAAAATGAATATTTTTATGCTGCAACTTTGGCCGAGTTCCTCATTGGAGTTTTGATTGATAAATGTATTATTTTTTATTGCCGCGCTTTTCGTTTTCCACTCTCCATTTGCCATTTGCCATTTTCCGCTTTGGTTTGGTTTTTTTTTTTTTTTATGGAGCGACCTGAACGTGAATCTCGTCCAGCAGTTAATTTTCAAATTAGCTTGGCCGCCTGAGAGGTTCTTAATTACAAATGCCATGGAGTTGCTTTGTCGGCGGTTGTGCCCCAACCAACAACCCCCAGCCCCCCAGCCCCTGTCTGAGTGGCAGTTCTTGCCACAGCGACAAAGGCAACGGCAACAAATGTCTGATTAAATAAATTGACATAAATTAAAAGAATATGCTGCCATGGCAACAATTAAATCAAAATTCTCGAGTGGCACAGCAGCCCGCCCAGCCCCCAGAGCCCCCCACCACCACAGCAGCCTTTACTGTCTCTGGCTGTTGTTGCTTTTGATTGCATAAAAAACAAGCTAATTATGTGAGCAAGGAAGCGGTGCGATGGGCCCTAGCCCCCCCCCCCATCACCAACCAACCATCCATCTGGCTCGCTGGAAGCTCCTTTGAAGTGGGTCCGTGGGCGGGGAAGACACTTTGGCATATGTTTTAATGTCAATTTCCATTTAAATTAGCTGCTAGGCAGGCGCTTGTGGCTGAGCCATGTCGGCAATGATTGAATACGCTCCGCAGGAAGGCTCATTGCCGGCTGCCTTCATATTTACAACGAATTTAAGCAATTCCCGCATACGCAAGCCGATTGCAAATTGACTACGAGAAACGCCAATAAAAATTCCTGCATGCCAGTAGCGTATGCAAAAGGGGCAGCCAAATGGTAAGAGTGCGCAATCGCCTCTTTTTGAGATTTTTTGGAGCTACCAAATATGATAAGTATGATGCACATTTTGATTTCCAGCCTGATTTTGCACCCTCGGAAAATCCCTCTTCATGCTGCTGGCCACGCTACTGATGCTTATTGTCCGTTTATTCACGGATATTCACGGTATGGAAACGCTCATGTATGCGCCAGGAGGAATAATCGACGAGGCAATGGAGCGTTCTCCCAATCGATTGCAATGGCCATTGCCTGGCTGGCTGGCATAGTCTACTTTTGTGCGGCCAGCGTATGAAAGTTTTTAATTGCCAGCCTCGGCATGATCCTGCTGCTCGTCCTGAGGCCGGTCCTTGGGTTGGTACTGGCTCTGCCGTGGCGCCACTTAAGCGCACAACAAGCAGCGAAATCAACCCATGCACAAATCATAAAAAATATAAAAAATAAGGCCAAGCGTTTCATACTCGTTGTAATATGAACATGCAATTATAAACATATATGGGCATACACAGATGTATGTATGTATGTATGTTTATTTGGATGGGTCTGAGTGCGCATTGTTGTAAATTTCGACTGCGAAACGAAAAACAAACAAATGCCAGGGATAGAGCCCTTCTCCGACTTCAACCCGGCATTAAGCATTAAATGAACTAAAAGCTTAGCAAATGAACAAGAAATTGCATTAGAACCGAATGCAAAAAGCTGATTTCACTCTATTTCGTTTTGTGCACAAGTGCTGGCATACAATGGCAGGGGAACGGACACGGACCTGGGCTCTGGCACAGAGAATAATTAAATTAACATTAATATGGCCCAATTTGGCATACAGACAGACCCTCACCCTATGGTTTTATGGTTTGTTTCAATACTAAAATGTACTTTAATAAATAATTTCTGACTATTTGGGATATGGTAGATGTCTGGCACCGCTAATAATACTCGTAATAATTGCTTGCAGGTCTATGGCAGAGAGTATTGAAACCGCACTCGCATGATACACGAGTATCTGTGGTAACAAATAAGCATTTGCGAAATGTTGCTCCTAATTAAAAAGGGAAAAGATGATTGCAAATGTTCGAGCACTCGCAAGCTTGTGACTTCTACGAGTACGAGCAAGATGGGATGCAGC